TGAATATGTACGGCTCCCCTCCTTCGTCAGAGGTCGTTGCACGTGGTGTGATGACCAGAATTCGCGTCGTTAATTGCTGCAATTTCATCACGTGCGTTGGTGTTGGTGTGATGATTGCTCGACCATCTGACCCACCGACCCTGGAGTTAGGAAAAGTGTTCACTTGTGCGCTCTCCGCGTGGCTAATTACTCCGCCTGGGCGAAGTCCCGGCACTGAGTATGGAAGGGTAAGCTCATTGCATTTGCTAATGGATTGGGAGCCATTAAACCATGATTCAAGTAACTCCCGGCTCACGCGGTTGTCACCTTTTGCGAGAATTTCGGCCTCGTCGAATTTTAATGTATGGCCGGATCTCGTCGAATGAGCCGCAACTTGGGAGCTGGCGTCATTTCTCCGCACCTCTGCAGCGTATTTGGCCATTCGTGTTCGGAGCTGTCTTCCGCTTTCTCCGACGTAGTTGCTCTGTCCGCAACTGCACCAGATCTGATTAACGACTCCATCCCCGTCAATAAGTGTTTTTGGCAGATTTACATGATTCCTCTTCGGACTCAATGGTTTCCGAACCGACGAATGGAGCGTTGGCTTGAGAAACACATCCCTGTCACACAGAGGGAGACACGATCGCTGGGACAAGAGCATTCTTCGCCCGACATTTAGGATTCCTGCTCGAACCCATCGTCAGAGACAAAGCAGACACGGGTGGCTCATGCACTAGGGGCTGCAGTATTTATAGGATGCAGTCGCCATGCTACGGCATACCTATGAATATTCACGCCCCCCCCCTTTCACTTCATCCGGGATCGTCGCACTTGGTGTGCTAACTATTTGATGGCCGATATTCGCGTCGTTGATTGCTGCAATTGCATCATATACGTTGGGTGTTGGTGCGATGATTGCTCTACCACCTGATCCACCGACACTCGGGTTGGGACAAGAGTTCACTTGTGCGCTCCCCGTGTGGCTAATTACTCTGCCTAGGCGAAGTCTCAGCACCGAGTATGGACGGGGAAGGTCATTGGACTTGTTAATGGATTGGGGGCCAGATAACCATGATTCAAATAGCTCCCAGCTCAGGCACTTGTCACCTCTTGCGAGAATTTCGGTCTTGTCGAAGTTGAATGCGTTACCGGATCTCGTCGAATGAGCCGCAACTTGATAGCTAGCGTCATTTCCCCGCACCGCTGCAGCGTGTTTGGCCATTCTCGTTCGGAGCCGTCTTCCAGTTTCTCCAATGTAGTTGCTTTGTCCGCAACTGCATCAGATCCGATAAATGACTCCATCCCCGTCAATAGGTGTTTTTGGCAGATTTACATAATTTCTCTTCGGACTCAATGGTTTCCGAACCGACGACTGGAGCGTTGGCTGCACTCAGGCTTTGTACGTGCAACCGTGTGTTCGAATTCTACTGAGGCCGCCAAGTTGTTTACAACTGTATCGGTGGAAATATCTCCAAATTTATAAGGTTGCTGCCACTCATTTTAAACTAATAGAGGGGATGAGTGAGATAAACATGCGCGACGAAAGGTAGCAGCGGCCTTCTTCGCTTCCAGCAAGGGCGTCCGAACGGGAAATCCTTCCATTTTCTCGTCTACCTTCTCTTTGAAGAAGGCGAAGGAGGTGGTCAGTACTCCGCGATATGTCACAAGAAAGCAAATTTCAGGAAAATCTTCCTAGGGGATTTACTATTGATTGATAAAATGCGCAACAGTCGCAGACCTTCGTGGCAGTAGTTCATATTCTTCGCGATGAGGTTCCCTGTTGAGATCAACCTACAAGTACGGCAAAAACAATCGACTGTGGAAAAGGTCTGAAAGTGCCTTGTTTTGAAAGTTTTGATGCTTATAAAGTGCAGCGCCCCTCCTTTCTAACCATAGACTAGAAAAACCGAAGACAGCGCTTTGTCTACTGTCCATTCAAGAAGGCTGCTGTTGTCAGAGAGAGCCCAGTAATTTTATCCTCCATTATGTTCGTCAAATAAAATCCGATTCTTCACTTTTTCACTGGATTTTTGATAAGTGGCCTTGCAAGCACTTTTATTTTCATGACTTCTCAACCAAATAGGCAAATAAAGTCCTCTTCAGTCAAACAATTCACTTAAGAATCCGCCGGTCATTTTAGAAATCTCCCCCAAGACTAGGCAATCGCCCGGTAGTCATACTGTAAATGTACAGTTGGCGACCAATCTCATTCTGAAATGCGTTCGCAATTAGGAAGAACTGCTTAACTGGACTTGTAAGATGGCTATCGTACTGCATATTTTCAAGAAATGCCATTGAAATGCGCTTCTATCTGGTCGCCTGCAAAAATGTCACCTGGTAAAAATTACTAGACAAGTAGCATGGAAGTTTCCCATTGGTTTTCGATGCCTCTAAAGTTTAGATATATCGCATAGAAAAAGCGTCCAAAAATATGACTAAGTGTACTCATCTGACAGGAAATCATTTCCTCAAAATTTAATACTCGGAGAGGAAGTGTATTTCAACCTCAAAAGTTGATGTTTTGAGGCTTTTAAGACTGTGATATGTCCACTTATATAGTATCACATCAGTCCGTTTATAAATGCACCACATACATCGAAAAGTTTACGAGCCCTGTATAGTATCATCTTAATGTCTTAGGGAAATATGCGGTTTCCTTTGCGTGAAAAGTGTGCAGTCTTGTGGACTGAAAGCACTAAACTAAAGTGCAGTGGCAGTCAGAGCTCAAAACTCAAAATTTAAAGCCTAAAGATACCTTTTCTTCGGGTATAAAATTTTATAAAGACGTGTTTTTCTATCAAGAAAGTAAAAGAGAGTACATTTTTGGGTATGTTTTCTGTAAAATATATTCGAACGCCTAAGGATGTGGAAAATCAATGAAGGTTACTACTGCGTAAATAGTTTTTTTGCCGTGTGCGATTTTTCAGGTGGCCGAAAAAAGCGCATTTGCATGTTGGCGTCATAGCGGGACTGGAATATCCCCACAACATGCTTCATGACAACCGGTATTAAAATTCATTGTGACAATGCCGTTCTAGTCATTGATGTATGCCTGCATTGTGCACTCATGCTAATTATGTTTATTTATTTGATGCCAGTCTTTGATATCTTCAGCAGTTTCTGATTTTCTTCAAACGGTTTTATTTCGTATGCTAATTTCAGTGGTTTTCAAGCAAAGGTTTCATTGTAAAATAGGCACGGTATGTTTACAGTAGGTGCGCTAACTACTGAAATGCCAACCGAAAATCTGAAATGCGTTTTCGACTTGAAGATTAATTTAGTAGGGTTGTAAAACTAATAATTGTGCAGCATAATTTATAATAATCAAGTTACCGCAGGATGCCGGCTTTCGAACGACCGCATGAAAAAACTACACTCTTCACAAATGACTACTTGGCTAGATCGCAGTTGGTAGCCAGGCCCCGT